CCCGCTGGGCTGAGACGGGTTGAAAGGAGCGAGCCTGGGGGGTGCCCTGCCCTGGCCTGGGAGACCCAGCTTCAAGCCCCAGATTTGGGGAGATCTGGATGAGGCGCTCAGAACAGTCATCCCCCTCCCCCATGAATGTGATTGCCTTAAAAACCAGGAGGTGTTTTTAGACTGGTACGTGCTGGGCGCTTTGTCATTGTCTCCTGCCTCTTCGCCCTCTGGGGATCACGTTTTCTCTGCAGCTGGGAAGGTTAGAAATGGAGTCCGCTTTTAAATGCAGGCTAGGCTGTCCCATAGCCCCGTGTCCCCAGGAGTTAGGGGCTTTCACAGAAGCACCAGGCAGGGGTAGGTTGCCAGGTGTCCAGTTTTTCAACCGGACCGTCCAGTATTTGAGCTTTCTGTTTGGGAAACAAATAGAGAAAATAGAAATGAGAAAATAGAAGTATTTTCTAACTAAGACGTAATGTCGATTGTGATGTCATGTCAAGTGTGTCCGGCATTTTTGTTGAAACCATCTGGCAACCCTAGGCAGGGTGAGATTCCCCAGGGCGCCGTACAGGGAGAGCGGTTTGCTAGGTAGGGCGACGGTACGAGTTAAGGCAGTAGTGAAGTGAGCTTACCGCCAAACCAATCAAGGGAAGACTGAAGGAATTGGGTTTATTTAGTTTAGAAAAGAGAAGACTGAGGGGGGACATGATAGCAGTTTTCAGGTATCTAAAAGGGTGTCATAAGGAGGAGGGAGAAAACTTGTTCATCTTGGCCTCTGAGGATAGAACAAGAAGCAATGGGCTTAAACTGCAGCAAGGGAGGTTTAGGTTGGACATTAGGAAAAAGTTCCTAACTGTCAGGGTAGTCAGACACTGGAATAAATTGCCAAGGGAAGTTGTGGAATCCCCATCTGTGGAGATATTTAAGAGTAGGCTAGATAAATGTCTATCAGAGATGGTCTAGACAGTATTTGGTCCTGCCATGAGGGCAGGGGACTGGACTCGATGACCTCTCGAGGTCCCTTCCAGTCCTAGTAGTCTGTGATTCTATGCTGAGGCTCCCTGGATCTGTCTTCCTGGTTTGAAACTGCATGGTAAGGGGACAGCTGTAGGTTTTGATCTGGAATTCATGGAGTTGAGGGGTTTGACATTGATGCACTGGAGAGCATCTTCCTGTGATTTCTTTTGGGAAGACCCTGCCTCACCATGTGAGCTGGAGCTCAGCGCCTGTCACAGATCTGTGACTATATGTGACACAAAGAAGAAGAAAGTCAGGCGACGTCTCTTCTAAGGCAAATAGTGAGCTGGGTTCAGGCGGAGATCTCCTAACAGGACAATTAACATACAAAAGCATAGTTGTTGGGTCAGCCTTGGGTTGCATGAAATTCTCCCATGATTGTTCTAGCACTGATGCAGCTCAAAAGCAACTGTGGGCATGCTAGTATAGACAAGCCACAGGTACTTTTACCAGCTGGTGCTCTATAGCATATGAAACTGTTATAATAAAGCCATGGTTAAAAATAAAATGCAAGAACTGTGTGCCTCAAAATGGTTACCAAGCAATAATGTTGCTACTTGAGAGTACAGAACAAGTGTCACATGTTGAATCTGCACAATGTTCTACTGATCAATAGAAATCTTTCTCTGATGGGACTAATACAGACATATCAATATTCTGTACTAGGATGATTGCCACAAGCACTAAACAGAGTTTATTTCTTTTCCTCTCCTTGAGGCCCTTTTGGTAGAGTTAAAAGGGAGTAATCAATAGCATTGATCGGAGGGAATATGAAAAACAGACATAAATCTAGTTCACTAGCCTATTACACTACTTGGATCCACCCTCTGGCCCAAATCAGTGCCTAGAACTACTGTGCATGATCCTGTTAATGGATGGCTCAGAACCTGCTTTCTGCCTGTTGGAGCCAACAGTTCTATCTGTGCTCCAGGGAGGAAGTTACCATGGAAACTCGATTGCCCTAGAGCAGCCAAACCATCTGTTGGGGGCGAAGTGAACTGAGTGGCTAAATTTATCAGTACGGAAACCAAAAATTGGAAGTTCACAGGACATGAACATCAAGGGTGTGTCTACACTGCAGGGCTTAACTCAAAATAAGCTACGCAAATTGAGCAACATCAATTGTGTATCTTATTTTGAAATAGCTTATTTCAAAATAGGGAGCATCTACCCAGCACTTATTTTGAAATAGAGCATGCTTCCTCCGACTTCTCTTTCTCCTCGTACATTGAGGGTTACGGGAGTTGGAGTAAAAAATCCTCCAACTTGACAGTATTTTGACACTATTTTGAAATAATTGCCTACTGTGTAGACGCGGACTAAGTTATTTTGGAACAGCGCTAGTTATTTCAAAATAGTGTTGCAGTGTAGACGTACCCTAACAAAAAGGTTGGTTAATGACACTCTTGGCTTAACAACAGTGATGTTGGGTTTAAAGGTTTCAGATACATCTGCAGCTGCATTTATTTACATTCACAACTTGGATCAGGAGCTGGGATGCCCTGTTCATCCCCCAAAGATCATAAAACATTCCTAACAAAATTGAGCAATCAAGTCCCTGCCATTGATATTTATACGAGATATTTGTCTTTGCCAACAGGGATTCATGGTTGTAACTTAAAAAAAACCCACCAAGGAAACTTGATTTAACAAAATGTTCATCTTTACTAATAATGATGAAATCTCAAAAGCTACCTCACAGGGCAGCCTAGAGAATCTTTTGAAGAAAAGCTCAATGTACGTAAGTATTATTTGTGGGCCAACTCCTGCAGCCTTTACTCAGTGTGTGTCAGGACTGCAGGATCTGGCCCACTGTCATTAATAAATGGTAGAGAGCTGAGAGGAGGCACTTGTGTGTCTCTCTGTAAATCTAAAGCAACAGCTCAGCTGTCTTTAGGCTGGCAGAAGCCCCCAGCTTAATGAAGCGCTCAGCCTCAGAATGTGAGAGGATGTACAGAGGTGTAAGTCCATCGTGAACACAGCAATACTAGTCACAAGATGCAAGCATATAATGTAGAAAAGGAATACCTTTCTCAGCAACAGATAGGTTGGGATCACTGCAAGGTTTGCATGGTCCAATCACTTGCTGAATCAAGGCGCGCTGAAAATTTGGAGGCTAAAGACGAGGGGAGGCAGCACAGAAATGTGAAAACAGTTACAGATTTGCCAGTACAGAAGCCTGTGATAGCTGAAAGGTCCAAGATAAAAATCCATGGAAAGCTCTAACCTCTGAGCCTTCACAGGAATGTCAGTAGGTGAAGGGTAGATGGGAGACTGTTGGGAGGCACTGCATTGTTGGAAACCATTTTCACCATTTACTAGTTAATTGCCCTTGGAAACATTAACTCTGAAAGCCTCATCAGGATAGGGTTTTGGTTACTCCAGAACCTATTTCTTCACCTCCACGGTCCAGGTCTGATTCCACAGCATCCAAGATCAGCTAATGCAACCAATCTTATTTCCCCTATGTTTATTTGTGAAGGGTGTCAACTATGGAATTTGTTCCCCCCATCACTTGATGGATCTGAATTTTTGACCTGTGTATCATGCTGCCCAGCCCTCTCGGCATGGTTTTCATGAGATGCTGAATGATGGGATGATGGGAGTCTTTTGAGGGTATTTTTGCGTTGGAGAGTGCTGGGTTTTGAATTAATCTGTCTTTGATTTTGGGAAACTGGGTCCTATAATTCAATTACCAGTTAGGCTTGTGTTTTATGAAGTTGATTTGTTTATTTTTATTTCTAAAATTGTGCCCATCCTATGTTGTAAAAGAAAAGTCATGTGACAGTTTTGGATGGATCTGATGGTCAGGGTTTAAAGTAAAAAGAGCCCATCCCCACAAAGAGGATCCACAATTGCAGCATACTATTAGTATGATGCTGATTTTAGTGTTTCAGATACAGTGGAGAGAGACAAGCACAGACATCTCTGCCCAGTTTGATGAGCTGCTTTGTAAATATAGCTAAGTCAGTGGTTTCTGAAAGCACGGGAAGGTGAAAAGGGAAGACATGAAGATAATTACAGATTACAACAGGGATTTGATCTGTAAGATAATCACAAATAAACAACTGCCACGGCTGTTGTACTAGGAAAGAAAAGCAAATCTACCTGTCCATTTTCCATGATAGCTGCAGGATACATGGCACTGCTCGGTCGGTCCCGGTGGGTTGGCATCAGCATCATCAGCTCCCGAGTGTGGCGGTACTTATCTGGTAGAGAGGGAGAGCCTGTAAACAAGTGAGAATAATCACGTACACATGACAAAACCACAGAGAGATCTCAGCATGGCCCAGACAGCTAGTCTTCCTTCTTTCCTGGGACTCACGAACTACCCAACAATTTGGACGATGACCTTACAGGACTCCAAGAAGACATGGTGCTGAGCCCACTTAGCAGCTGGCTATAGGCAGGTGCATAGCATTAGACTTTAGTAGTAATCCATTTGCTATGCACTTAAGATAGGGACACATTGCTAGGTTTAGGATGTACAACCCAGAAAATCACTAGCTGTACATTATAGGGATGTTAACTAGCGATTAATTTACTAGTCGAGTAGTCGATGGAATTTCCGTTGACTACTCGATAGGCACTTCCATGTTTCGCCTTTGAAAAATACAAGAGCCCCAGCTGGGAACTCTTGTACATTTCAAAGCTGGCACACCACACAGAGCCAGGGGTCAGCTGGGAACTCCCCAGCTGATCCCAGGCTCCACCCAGTATTTCAAAGTGGCAATGCCACACTGAGCCCGGCGAGTCTGCTTTAAGCCTGGCGCTGCCACTTTGAAATGCCAGGGGGAGCCCAGGATCAGCTGGGGACTCCACAGCTGACCCCAGGCTCCATGCAGCACTGTTGCTTTGAAACACCACGGCAGCATTTCAAAGGGGCAACACTGCATAGCTGATCCTGGTCTCCATGCAATGCTCCTGCTTTGAAGTACCCCTTTCTTCCCCTGCTCTTGCTGCCTCTATTTGATAGAGGCAGCAAGGGCGGGGGGAGCGACTAGTTGGCTATCTGATAAGCATTTGCTTATCGGATAGCTGACTAGTCCTTAGCATCTCATGTACATTACAAGCTATTTGCCTCTAAAATAAAAGCTTTATTGTCTGTGTGGAATCAGCAGTGATTGTGGTTTAATATACTTGATCTTCCTTGGCCTAATAAGCTAACAGATGTATGTATACAGATGCCCTAAAACTGTGCACTTTATGACTGAATAAATATGAACGGGATACAAGGCTGGGCTACAATATAGAACTGATGCTGGAATTTGCCTTGTGTGTGTAATAGATGGTTCAGGTAAATGGTGATTCCCATGCCTGACTTCCTCTTTATTTAAAAAACAACAAATAATCTGTTAGTGCTTTAAAGACTAACAAAACACGTGGATGGTATCATGCGCTTTCGTGGGCACAGCCGACTTCTTCAGATGACCGGAGTGTTAGATGTCCAGAAACAAAAAAAACCCCAAAACAAAAACAAAACAAAAAAACTCAGCGACCCTTCTGAAGCTTTTCATCTTTATTAATACTGGCCAGAGAAAAATGGAATGTTCTGACAGTGTTTTTCAACCCTTTTTCAAGACCCCTACATTTTTTGAATGGAGGTGAGGTCCATTTGGAAATTTTAGATGCAGTCTGTGGACCCACATGTACTTGGGGACCAGAGGTTGAAAACCACTATTCCATGAATTTTAGGAGCACTTTATCACTGCATGCCCTTATTCTGAGAATATGTCAGCTGAGATTTGCCAACATGCTGGTATGTAGTTATGATGTATTTGCTTGTGGGATCCAGTAGTTGTTTGTAATCTGGATAATTGCCAGGACATGTGACATCATGAGAGGGTCTTTGTGTTTCATACTAAATCTTTATTGGACTACAGCATTTTTTTTTACCAGCCTACTTTGTGTTTTTATATTAGGCACCATGTTCTGCAAGGAGCACACCACACACCCATGGGCTTGCTCATGTCTATAGCTACAATGGATGTGCCACAAGAATGATTGACATTATGGGATGCTTGTGAGGGTCTGGTAATACTGATACACGCACCCTCATGGAGACACAGTATTATGCAGAAGTTAACATTCTGAAACAGCAGAAATGAGCTTTAACTTGTTTAACACACACTTGACAGACAGCCGCACATAGCGCATTATCCAGCCATGCCTGCTTTTTGGAAAGACATGCCCCCTTCTGCAAACTTTCCACAACCACATTACCTGAACAGCACTCCAACATATAAGCAAAGGCTTTTTTCTCTAGTTAATGCAGCTTTTACACCAACAGAAGCATAACATGCATCTTTTTGGACCAATATTCAGCACCCAGTGGTGGAACCAACGTGGCCAGCAGAGTGCAGAATAAAGTCCTACACTTGCAGCAATTTTATGAGGGGTATAGGGCCCAGATAAATCTATACCCCAGCAATGCATAAGTAAATGCAAAATATTTGCAACCTAACTCAAATCACAATTCTCCACAGACATAAAACAAATACAGTTAGACATTCTTAGTTCTTATATATATTATCTTTAAAAATACAGCTGTAACACTTTCTGCTGAGTCTTTTTTACTCACATACACATCACAGATAGTCCTACTTCTGCATGGCAAATATAAAAATACTGAACTTTTAGGAGTGCCAAGAACTGCGTCACAGCACAAATCACACTGCAACTCCCTCTCCCCTTTTATCATTTGAGCCTCACTTTTCTTGTCCTGGGAACAAACTGCAACTATATGAGCCATCAGTTTAGAAACAATCATGAATACCCCCCAAGACCATCTTCTCTGAGGACCATCTGAGAGTCAAGTAAACATTGAAAACAAACTCAAACCTTTTACAAGCGCCAAGAGTTGCCACAGGGCAACAACATAGCACTGCAGTGGTCCTGCAGACTTTACAAAACCCAGCAGCATATACTATTGGTCCGTTACACTTTCCAGCTTGTAGCTCTGTACATGTAACGTGTGCAGCGCTTCACACACCGGTTAGAGGAAAGCAAAACTTGGTTTGTCAGGGCTCTGTTTGCCAGGCTTTTCATTTTATGTCAACAGTTTAAACCAAGTCAAATATTACAATTTACACAAAAATACTGGTTTTAGCCACTCATTTTCAGTGAATTGAGGAATCTGTAAATTCTTGAGAAATCCTTCGAGTCTCTTATTTTTATTGGTATTCTGAAGCAATTTGCTTCCAGCCCAAAACATGAACTTTTAGCTCTGATGAAGGTCTTTATTTCCTTTAAATGGCAAGCACAGAGGCTCTTTTACCACGCTGAGTAAGGAAGCTGGGACTTTGCTCTCAAAGCCTGAGAAGAAGGCTGTCTAAAGGAAGCATTGAGGAAGACTTGACAGCTTCCATATTTAATATGAGCTGCCTTTAAAATGTGTTGAACATGCTCCAAGCTCACTTTAAAATGATTCCTTTTAAAACATGACACACTTCCTGACGACTCCCTGGTATAACTCCTGGTTAAGGAACCTTGGTACATATCTGAGTAGGGCCTCATCTGAGCACTCTCAAGGGGAGAGAATGCAGGCTCACAAATTCTTATTGACCTTGCCTGTGACACACTGCTTCCCAAAAGGCAAGCAGGAAGTGTTGTCCTCAGACGTTAACGTGAGCTGGTGCACCCTGGGGCGCTCAGGTAAGGAGGAGCCAGTGGGCACTTGGCTGCAGGATCAGGCATGGTGTGCTCTCAGCCAGGCTCCTGCAGGCTGCTGCACTAAGTAGCAGGCAGCCAGGCAGGTGAAAGAGGCTGGCTGGGGGCATCCCCCGGGGTCTGGGACTGCCCCAGTCCTGAGCTTTCCCCCAGGGACTCTTTAGGGAGAGTAGAGAGGGGGAAGCTCCCCCCCCCAACATTCACACCGGGACACTGCTGGCTGTTCCCCTTCCTGTTGCTGTCAGAGAGCAAGGGGAAAGGCACTTTGCTGCATTCCTCTCATTCTGGCTGGGGAGGGCAGGGGGCAGTCGTGCTGTGCTGTGCACTTTCTTCTTGTTCCCTGATAGTGACAGAAAGCAGCATCTTGCTATGAATCTTGGGGGGGGGGGGAAGGAGCTTAACCCCCCCCGCCCTTTTAGCACACCCCCTATAATCTCCCAACCTCCTGAGCCCCCCATTCACAGCCCTGACTCCTGCACCCTCCATCCCTACCTCATCCCACAACCCTGACTCCTGCACCCCCACACTCCCAGCCCTGACTCCTGTACCCTTCCTCATCCCTACCCCCTGCCCTGAGCCCCCCATCCTGATACTCTCCAACCCCTCACCTTGAGCCCTCCGCACTCCATCCCATACATACATTTCTTACAGCTCCGGTTGTATCACAACCCCCCAAGCTTCTGCCCTGAGCCCCCGCTTTGGGTGTTTGCACTTCACAGTACCTGTAAGAAATCTGAGTTGCTTTCACTTCTGGTTGACTACAGGCTGTGTTAGGGGTTTGGTCAGGCCAGACAAAACCAGAGAGGGACATGCTCTTTAACTGGCAAATACCAGTAATCTGTAATGTATTTCTTTATCACTAGTGCAAGCTAATGGAGTTCTTATTGTATCCTGATTACAACATTCTTTATAACAGTCAACTCCCTGGATCCTAGAAGTAGGTGATGTGCATAAGAACATCATTGTAAGCTTTGCTGTTTCCTATTTAATCTGATCTGGCTATGATCTGTACTAGTCTCTTTGATGACTACATTCCCACGAATAAACTGTTACCTTGTTAATACATATTTCCATTACTTAGTTTACTTGGCTTATGATTGTTCCTCAAATAACTGATATTCTTCTCTTTCAGTGAACAGTGCCATGTTTCGGGAGTGGAGGATTAGCTTTATCATCTCCAGGGATGGGGGATTTAAATTCTAGTTGAACCCTAACTGGTGGTCTCTTGGTCCCCGTGAAAATTAATTCACCTCTTTGCGCAGACTAACGTTAATAAGCATGCTGCAGGTCAGGATTGCAACTCATGGATAAGCTGGTGCAAGCATTAAGGAAATGGGAGGCAGTTTTTTCACCTCCAGGTTACGATGTAGCCCTGGAGATGACAGCTTTTAACAAGTGATAAATTTGAGAACTAGAAGCAGAGGTAACCAATGTTCAACGTAGGACCCGAGGTGACAAGAACTGTTAAATCTGAGAAATGCTAGGTGGCCCATGTGAAATGAGCTAGTAGTCTTAATACAGTTCCTGACTGATGTAGCATCCCAACTGGAAAATCTGTTGGCAGTCTCACCAGAAAGTCCAAGGACTGAATGGGTCATGGAGACTGAACTATCCTCTCACCTCTAGAGGTGGTCCCTCCAGGACAGAGATGAGGTACATTGGTGGGGGCAGTGTGGGGAAGCTTGCATTGCTGCCGCCCGTGCTGAATCTGTTCTGTGGATAAATAGAGGGCTTCAGCCTCCAGTGTTGTCAATCCAGCACCTTTCACCAGCACTAAATTAAAAAGAATATAAATAAATACAAAAAGGATAGAGGTGCATTGGCAGAGCTGTGCAAGTGAAGTTTGCATAGTAATTTGCTCTAGCCAGAGCCATCACTCATTTTAACACGCATCAAATTCACCCAATTAAAACAAAGAAACAAACAAACAAAAGAAAAAGGCAAAGAAACCAAAGCCATGTTATTTTCAACACTGTGGAACTTTCGTATGGAGAAGTTGTTTTTTCTGCTGAATAACTTCACTCTATTTGGAGCTTTCATAATAACCAGATTAGAAACTTGCCCATTGTGAAGTATGGAAAAGATCTAGGATTTTCATTCCACTTTACTGCAAATGAAGTTTCATAATAATTTGTTAGACTCTAAACATTGTTTTTTGCCTAAATGAAAATGGACAAAACTGACAGGGAAAAAAAGTTTTTTCCTGAACTTATCAAAATGTGCTTGTAGGAATGGAGAGTAAAACAAAACAAAGTAATTATGTGAAAATGTCCCTCAAATAATACACATTTAAAATCACCACTTCTCTGGCTGTTTCCTCATTCCAAGTAAGCAGAGTTATCTAATTCTCATCTGTGGGAGGCGCTGTTGACTTAAGCATCAGCCAGACATCCTTCTATATTGTTCATCACTTTGGTTCCTAAGCAACAGCAGAGACCACAGCTGAGGGGGCAGTTGGTGATGCTGGGAAGTCAGACATCTCAGAAACACTGACTAGGCCTGTGGCTGTGAATACCAGATTTCTGAAGTGGAAAATAGCTTAAAATGCTGCAAGCATGAAAACCCCACACTGTTCCCTAAAAAGATTCAGGTCTCATAGATTTACAGAACTAGCTGGGCAGGTTCATTTGCAGAGCCTTCCTGACACTACAGCACCATATTCAGTTCCACCTTCCCTTCCCTGCTCTATCACCTTTATTATAATTACTTCATTATTTGGGTTGTCATTATTTTCCTCTAGCACTTGATAATTAGCCAAGATATTTTTATTGATATAAATAATCCTACTTCTCAGCTTCCTGTTCCATTACACCCTGCAAGTTAAATCATACTGCTGCATTCTGACGTGGCAACAGATTGTAATTTATGACTTCACTGTAGGATCATGCACAAAGACAGGCTGGATTGAGGAGAAAAAAGCTCTTATTGTAGTTAAGAAAAAAACAAATTCTGCCCTCTCTTTTGTGTCTACAGATACCCCATGCCACACTGCAACCAGTGCAGTTCTCTTGTGGGAGGAAGAGGGACAAGATATGAGCAACTGGACCCAAATTCTACAGCCTATATCATAGAGGCCTTCGAAATGAGCCTGTGGAGGGAGATGTAGCAGTAGCTGAGGTGGGAACAGGTGGACATGCAAGAGAGCTGCCACAAAAGGGAAGGGATCAACCTAACTGGAGGTCAGTAAAGCACTGAGGGTGCAGTAGCAGACATGGAGAGACTGCTGCAGTTCAGAGGCATAGGGAAAAGTGGATTCATTGCACTAAGCCTCATTACCCTAAGATGAAAGGAAAAGCAAAACATTAAGTGGTAAAAGTATTTTTTCTTGCCTTCAGATATATCCTAGTGTGAAAGTCTCAATTCTGACATCTCCCATTCCAAGCCCTTTAACCTTCATTGCATATATGCATGTTAACACACGGCTCACAACTTCTTTAGAAAGCTCTAATATCTTTAAAGATACAAGGTTGAACTTTGAATTTTTCCTGATGTTCTGCTACTTGCAAGTACTGTAACAAATAACTATTTAAGTTCTTCAGTAGTTTGTTTCCCAGAGGGCAATATGGCATCATTTTCCTTACAGTGTTTACGATGCAAATGTTTGGCTCAATTGTGTGGAAGCATATTCAAAAACATTACACAGTCAAAGTGCCTGAAGCCAGCAAGTACCTAAGATGCACACTCCACCGAATTTTGCTGAAAAGATGACCAAGATCACTGTGGTGGTTACACAGCACATTTCAGGAGAAGTCAGTGTTAGAAACTTAGTCCCTACTTCCACAAGTAAAATAGCAAAATTTCTTTATATTTCAAGCATCTCAGCAGCCCAATCTATACACAGATAGGACCAGAATCTAGGCCATTTGGATGCCTCTGAGTTCTTTGCTCAAAGTCCCTCCATTCTTACCTCGTGCACTGGGAGGTGCAGAGTTAATCATCTGGGATGGTGCAGAGTGGGTAGAGCTCAGGCTTGAGGTGGAAGGGCTGGCCTGGGATGAGGATAAAACAGAGACGTTGGTGACTGAATCTTGGTACCTGGAGTTAGGGTAAACAGGCTGCAGCAGACGACTGAGCAGACTGGTGCACTATATATTCAAAGGGGAGGGAACACAACCTCTTTCTAGGAAATAGTTACAATAAAACTCACTATTAACACTGTATTCTTATTGGCCTGTGGGACCCATTTCAGCCTTCCAGATCGACAGTCACGGATTGAAAGAGATATTACAAAGCATCTCAACATGGAAAAACTACCTATTCTGCTCACTAGGTGATAACACACTCATTATAAAAGTTACCTTTTATTTGGCTTCAAGCTGCACTAGGAACGTCTAATTTACACCTATAGAAAAGTTAATCATATTTATCTTAGGAAGAAATCACTGTGGGCCATCTCCGCCTCCATGGCATTTCTATCTTTAGGAGATACTGATCTATCTACAAGGTCGGACTCTGTGGGATTATTGCTGTATCTTCTCAGTTCATAGATACAGATACATTTAAGACCAAAGAGTTCTAAGTGCATCTACTGCACATATCATCCTTATCCCAATATGACCTACCCTGCATGTTCAATTCTATTCCTAGCAATGGGTTCTTGAAGTTGCATTGCAGCTATACCTGCATGTGGTACATGTCCTCAGCGGTCTCCCCTACAGAACTGTCTGTTAGGATAACCAGGTTTCCTGTTTCACTGGAAGTATGTGAGGAGAGAGAGGATGACGAGTGTCGCACTGAACCCAGCAAGTTCAGTGGGCTAAAACAAAAATGGAGACAGAGGCACAACAGGAGCCAAGATTAGGCAACATTATTTTCCAAATCTTAGTTTTCAGTAGTGAGGCCTGATCTTCCAAGGTGCTGAATATCTGTGAGTCCCACAGACTTTTTGCATTGAACGCCTTTGAAAAATCAGGCCACATGCTTACGCAAGCCTGCCCACCTCTTACAGTTTCATGGCAATAGAAATAAGAAACCAATACTATTACACATCAGTTAGCTCTATTACACTTCAGTTAGCTACACATTGACAATATAAAACAAGGTTATTCAAACTTCAATCTGAGACCAACCTGGCATTTTTCCAGGAGCCTGAGTGCTACCCTTAATTTGCTTGCCTCAAAGAGAGCAGACTGAGACTGCTTTTGTTTTTAATGGTGAGATTGCAAGCTGTGGATTGCAGCTCCCAAGGAGGTTTTATCAAGCTCCAGCAAAGGCTACTCAGATCAAGATGGAGCATTTCCTGTGTAGTCTCCATGGTCCACACTTGCATATTAAAATTGAAGGCAGCTGCAGCTAAGTTTATATCTCTATTGCCCAAATGGCCTGTGGGCTGCACTGTGATCGGTCATGATGTAAAATCATGCTGATCTATTTCTCTTGCACTCTGAATCACACATGTAATATACACAGTAGAACAACTTGGAAGCCCTTTACATGTTGATAACTTTTGAGGATAGTGCCAACACTTTTAGGCTACACTGCACAGTTATTTCAGAATAAGATATTCCGGAATAGTTATTCCAAAATAGCTTATTTTGAAATAGCACGTCTACACTGCAGGGAAGCCTCAAAATTAGCCCAAGGCAGGCTTTCCTAATGTAGACATGTTATCTTGATTTAGAGCCCCAGGCGGAATAACTTAGAATAGCCCTGGTGAGGGGCTATTTCGAAATAACAGAAGTGAAGTGTCTACACACATCTTATTTCGAAATAGGCATTATTTTTCGTAAAATGAGGTTTACAGAAGTCATAATAAGCCGTCCGTATTTCAAAATTATTTCTAATACCTTGAAAGCTTCTCTGATTGCATTTTGGTTGTAGTCTAGGTTGGAATTCAGAACTGTAGCCAACAAAGCTGAATATCTTTAGACCCTTAAACAAAGGTTTAATTTGAGTTTGGTTCCACAAATAGGCAACAAGACCTTGTATTTGGTTGTCAGTGTGTCAGTGTAAGTGCCTTATTCAACTTGAGCAGGTTGCCTACCCTTCATCTACTTGTTAGAAATATTCAATGTTTGGGCCTTCAGTCATTTTGAAATTTGGGCACTGAGAAAAACTGAAATGCCAGCAGAGTGGCCATGTTTCGGCATCCAGCCAGCAAGCTCTTAAGATTGCTATTAAACCCCTGGCTGCTTAGTGCCACATAGCTTCCAATCTGGACATGAACAGGAACGGGTGGCTTCACTTCAAAGCTTTCCAATGATGACTCTAAATCAAGTATCAGTGGTCACTGCAGATGACCAATGGGAACACTTTTCTCCAAAGGCTGACATTTCTGCCTCCACCAACTATCTATGAGGCTAGGCTTGTTTGGGCTCCTAACCTTTGTTAAGTTCCCCCCTCTGTCCTCCTGTGGAGTTGTGAGAAGCCATGCCAGTACTGGGTGGTACATTTAGAACATTCTGCTTAAATAATCTAAAGGTTACAGAAGAAAAGCAGGTACCTGTGTCGATGCACCAGCTTGATGCTCTCTGGGCTCATCGGGCTGTGGGACACAAGAACACTGCTGCGTGGGGTGCTGGTACCAGAACAGGCTGGACTCAACTTATCCAAACCAGGCAACTCCTACATAGGAAATACAAAATCACTTCATGACTCTGGAAAGTTTGGGCTTTCCCTTTTGGTCAGAAGACTGGTGATAAATCTGTGACTGTGTTCTTCACAGAGCTATTATGGTTCTGCAATTAGTCCAAGAGCTTTCAACCCCCTTCACTCCCAACCAAATTAGCTTGCTACCAGTAATTCTCAGGTACCACCCCAGCAATTTGCTGGAGGCTTAGGTATACAATGGCCCATTTTGCAACCCCCTTCATTTTTAATATGAAGATATGGCTTACAGAGAAAACAGTACCACCATGTCATGTGGCCCAGGCACTTTTTACAAAAATGGTGAACTGCAGACTAGGAGTTATAATCTGCGGGGACCACATTTAAACGCTGTCCATATTGTAGAATTCTGGAAGCCTCATTTGAGGCTATCCTCACATAATACTAACTTAGCTAACACTAATATGGATTTGCCTTTCAGCATATAATATAAAATGTTATCACACGTAATAAAAGATGTTTTCTTAAATCTTTGAAAGATGACTCCTCTTTGTTTTTTAAAATGTAAAGGGAGTCAAGATATCTGTGAAAATGACAGTCTGCCATTTCTTAGGACCCATGTAACCCAGACGCATCAGGAGCTGGCCCACTGAAGAATAAAATAAAGAGACAAGTGGACATGACTCTTGGTGACAGTGGAGTCAATGGCTCCTCTACGATGTCTGACAACATAAAACAATCTGAGAAGCAGAGAAATTTAGATGTGTCTTGAGATCACTGATTCTACATGAACCACTGATAAAAAATAAACTTTAACCAGTCAGTCAGTACTTGCAGAGAGACTAATGATTATTCTATGACTGTTTCATTTCTCTTCCCGCCCCTCTCCCCCACAACACGTCGTCTTTTTGGTGAGGTGCCTGTATAGTGCGCATTAGGGTGGGATGTACAGGGCATAAATTGGCCATACGGAAGAGATGACCATAGGACTCTGTGATCAGATTTCTTCAACCTGGACAGGAGCAGTCTTCTAAATGAGCTATAACTTATACAGCATTAGCCTTTCTAATTGTGAACTGCTGGTTCTACAGCTGCAGCCAAATCTTGAGACATTTGAGACAGATACATCTTGAGTAACTGAGATGCACCACAAATCACGTTTTGTATAATTAACGTCTTCTTGTTAAGCTTTCAAACAAATTGGCAAGAAAAAAATTGCTGATCATACAACTCTTCTGAATGACAATACATCATTCAGAATTACATGCCTATTTATTATGTGGTATTGACACTAACTTTTAGCCTCTGTCTTCTTAAATACCCATGGATGCTCTGTGCTGGTGAATTGTAAGAAACGATAATTACATGAAATGGACATCTGAGTGGCAACCACGCTAACAAAGTAATGACTTCAGTAGCCGTTCCTAGATGCAAGCTCTTTTTAAATCTCCCAGCAAAACTAAATGCAAATCAAATCCTGTACACTTGGTTAAACAACAAACTGAAGAGGTCCCATTATTTCAACATTGGAGATTCACCCTGACATTTCTTAAAGCAGGGAGTACAAGGCCCTATTTGGTCTTTCTATTATTACAGAATAAAAGACATACAAATATGCATATATGTGAAATGGTGACTGCCAGTTATCTACCTTGGCTAGATTTCTACGGTATGGAGGTAAAAACATCCGCAGCTGTGGGTGCCCTGATTATACTAGCTCTCCCACCGCTGTGGCACTGGACTCATGTTAGGACTTTTCAGGCTAAAAAGCCTAGGGGAAATAAGGACATTTGGACTATAGGATTGATCCTCTGCCTTCTACTGGTGTCCTTGTCTACTGAGAGGGCTCCCATCACCCAGTACAGGCAGCAGGAAAGGACTTCTCCCACAAAAGATGAGTAGGAGGCATATCCAATCAACATCCTGGCTTGCACAGCTCTTTGCTGAATGTGTACAATCTGCCAACTGGATGCGTCCAGCCCCACACCCAGGTAGCACCCATGCTACACTGAACAGGTTGCAACAGGATAACTATCTGGTGAGATGAGCAGCAAGTACTGTCTAGTCATCTTTATCCCCACCCCTGGCATAGCACCTGAAGTAAGAGGTGGGCAAAATACGGTCCACAGGCAAGATCAGGCCAGCCAAGTTGCTGGATCCAGCCCGCTAGAGCCTCAGCCAGGCTCCCTGCTTGCCCTGTGTCTGCACACTGCTCAGAGCAGCTGTCTGAATGCTGTGAGCCTGTGGAGAGAAGTTTTACGTGCTGTCCCCACCCCCAGCACAATCTCGCAGCTCCCATTGGCTGATTTGCAGCACAGGTAGCGTGCAAAGTATCCCTCCCCCTACAGGCTTGCATTCAGTGCAGACGCATGGAAGGCAGGAACTCTGGCTGAGGAACCTGCTGGGCTGCTGGCTGGGAGCTGCCAAGGTAAGCGCCTCCTGGCCAGAGCCTGCCTCTGACACCCCAGTCCCATCCTCCCCCCAACCCACTGCCTCCCCTTTCTACACTCACCTCAGATCACAATCCCCTCCTACACCCCTTCTCCAAGTCACAACCCCCTCCCAGACCTTGCACTCCAATTCCCTACCCCCAGTCCCAACCCAGACTCCTGCACCCCCCTGCACTCCTGTCCCAAGTCACAACCCCCTCCTAGACCTCTGCACTCCCTCCTGCACCCCTCCTCCCGGTCTGAATCCTCTCCTGCACCCACACCTGTCACGTTATTGGATTGTGAGGGGAACCGCCAGGTCACTGCTGCACCCATGGGGGGGGGGTGTTTGCCCCAAAAGTGGGTACAAAGGGGGCCATGTGGGGTGTCAAACAAAAGCTTACTTTATACTGATTCTATATATGCTATTTGTGTAATTGTATAATGTCTGTGTGTGAAGTTATAAGCATGTATTCTGTGTGGATACTGAATATTTCTCTGTTTGTGGCTGAGAATAGATGAAGAATGCTCAACCTATGGACATGCTAATGAGCAAGTTTCCAGGGAACAATGGATCTCTGGAGGCCAAAGACACACCTGCCGGCCTATGGACATGTTAATTAGCGAGGCCCTGTGGGACAATAGCACTCAATGGGCCAAGGACATACCTCGGGAATGGTGACCGACACCTAAGGGCTACCAGCAGGGAACACAGTGATAGGCCGCTGGCCAGGTGACCTGCTGCAGCCAAGAAGAGACCAGGAAGGATGTATAAAGATGCCATGTGGCTGACTCCATCTTGGTACTCAGCTCAGCACTTCATCCCAGAGGCAGCAGTGCAGGGATTGAAGGGCCGGAAAGAACTGTGGACCCATCCTGATCTAGGATGCGCAACAAGGACTTTTGAGCCAGCAGCTGTAACATCTCTGCTAGAGCCTGCATCGAGAACTGGGAGATTCGATGCATGTAATGTATGATACTTTAGCAACCTTACTCTCATGCTTTTCTTTCTTGTGGTAATAAACCTTTAAATGGTAGATTCTAAAGGATTGGCTCAGCGTGATTTGTGGGTAAGGTCCAGAGGGTAAATTGACCAGGGATCTGTGGCTGGTTTCTTGGAACCGGACAGAACTCGTTTGGGGTAGGTGGGATTGGGTGCTAAGACCCCCCCCCACCTGTGTATGAGGCCCCGGGCCATCTGGGGCACGGATATTGCTGGGGTGTCGGAGGGGTTTTGCTCATGAGGCTTCAGGCAGGCTGCTGAAGTGCTCCGTGGGACTGGTTTGTGGCCTGTTTGGAGAGGTCACCAGTCTGGGGGATGCAAGGAGCCCCGAAGTTGAGCAATTCGCCCTGAGCGGATGCCCTCAGCTGTGCCCAGACACGGCCCAGTCCATCACAACACCCTCTCCTGGAATCTGCACTCTCTTCTCCTGCCCCAGGTCACAACTCCCTATTTCACCCAAACTCCCTCCCAGATCCAACACCCCCTCTTCCCCCCAATCCTTTACCCCAACCTCCTTTCTGTACACAACCCCCTTTCTGTACACAACTCTCCATTAACATTATGAAAGAGTACAACCTTTGACCACTCAAATGAATTCTTGCAGTGTCCCCCTATCAAAAATTATTGCCCACCCATACCCTATGGTAAGGGCAAAATTTTGTCCTATTACATGTAATAGTGAGAATTCAGCTTCACAGATCTTCTGTCACATCACCAGTGATATAAATTAGAAAGAGACCTTGAAAAATCCCAGGGATTATATTAAAAGTTCAGTTTGCAAATCTTTTGGGGCTTTATTTCTTGCACTGGAAACAAGGTTTCTTGTAAGAGTCAGATAATTCCATAGACACTAGATAATTCAATATACACTAGTTTTCCAGTTCCAATGTGCATCTCATTGCAACTGAATGATTTTGTATCATGTCTCTGGACTATTGACTATGACCAAGAAGTGGCGGTGATAGGGATTATCTTACATGGTACAGACTAGATCGCATCATTTGGAACTGATCAATCAGTTTCTTATGCAGGGGACGCATCTCTGGATGTACAAATTTCTCATGTACTGCCAGACCCACTCCAAGAACATGCACCTATTAAAAAAGAAATAACATCATGAATCAACAACATATTCATTCGGTCTACAGGACATTACATAATTATGTCCTCTAGTTTGGTCAGTGAGAGATATCTGTTAAATTTGCAAGACTACTGAAAATTAGCAAACATAAGAAAGCTGTCAGGTCTGTGTTTAACATATATTTTGAGTGTGAGATCACCACATTTGTGACATGCTGGATTTACATTTGCAAGAGATAACAGTAAAATGACAAATTTGTTTCACTCTGCAGAGCAAACAATAATGTCTTCACTCAAACAGACCTTTGTGACACAGGAAATTCCTTTTTGCCCATGTCTTCATAGTATCAGAAGAGAGATTAAAGCTGCTAATGGAGATTTGTAGTGGGGTTTCCTACAATTAATCTGAACAGTGGCAAAGCTGCATGCATACTGCTATCTATTCGCTCTCTGTTACTCATTATTTATTCATAAATGTCCCATTTTTAAAGGTCATAAATATAATGAGGAGTAGGGTTATATAAACTCTCAGATGAGCGAACACAGTGACACTTAATAATAATACTTAGAATTTATATACTTTACACTATTTACAGGTGGTAGCTAATAGATTCTTATGACGTTATCTGAGTAATTGTTAAGATAAGCATTATCCTTATTTTGCATATGGAAAATCTGAGATACACAGACATTAAGTGACTCTCAAAGTCCTTACTCTTTTTGCTAAATAACCCTGAAATCTCCATTCAGACTTGGACAGACTTTTTTTAATATAGTCTAAGAATGACTATACTGGGTCAGATCAATGGATCAGGCCCAGTATCTTCCAACAGTGGCCAGTGCCAGATGCTTCAGAGAGAATGAACAGAACAGGATAATCATCAACTGATCCATCCCCTTTTGTCCGCTCCCCTCTTCTGGCAGTTAGACACTTAGGACACCCAGAGGAAGAAGATGCATCCCAAATCATCTCGGCTAATTGCTACTGATGGACTTACTCTTCATGAGAGTGCTATAATTTTGGCCTTCACAACATCCCCTGGCAATGAGTTCCACAGATGGAGTGTTCACTATGGCTGTGTCCAGACTCCATGCCTCCGTCGACGGAGGCATGTAGATTAGCCAGCTCGGAAGAGGGAAATGAAGCCGCGATTATTTTAATCGCGGCTTCCTTTCCCTCTTCCGAGCTGGCTAATCTACATGCCTCCGTCGACGGAGGCATGGAGTCTGGACACAGCCTTAGTGAAGAAATACTTCCTTTTCTCTGTTTTTAATTTGCTGCCTATTCATTTCATTTGGGGAGGTGAATCCTGGTTCTTGTACTATGGGAGGAGTAAATATTTTGCCAGTCGGTTTAATAGTGATATGATTTTTCTTTCCCACCCAAATGCTGATTTACAAACCTGTCGGGTGAGATTTTATGTTTGTGCAAGTGAGACATTGAGAACACTGGATAGAGTCAGGGACAGTGCAAGTACGCTCTCCTATATGGCTCTGTACCACCTGTACCATCACTTCTACCACCCTTAGTATGTCTATCCTGAGACTCTACTGAGAAGAGACTACCAATTGTCCCAAAGGATAAGTAGATTTGTTATGGAGAAAGACATCCATTGCTTAATCAATCAAATCAATTTAATTTGTAATCTAAATTAGGCTTCAACTCACGTCTATAAAGGTGAAAGGCTAGCGCATTATTAATTCACTGGCCTTCTCACTTCCCTATATTTTAAATACACTGTAAAGCTCCTGTGTTTCTTTGCTTCTGAATGAATTATTTAGCTCTGGGTTATTTAAAGTGATTGCTGAGAAATCCATACACTATGACAGCTTCTTCCTTCATCTTTAAAAGCACAGCAGTACCTGTTCCTGCATGAGCTCCTTGAGCTGAGTGATTTTTTCGGCGTCTCCTGGGTGCTTGGTGATATAATCTTTATCAAAAAAGGCCTGTGGGAGAAAGACAAATCATCTCCTTATTAGGAAACATTTCATTATGTCCATATGTCATAGAGGGAGAGAAGAAGGAAGAGAAATCTTAGGGGACCCACGCACACTTAGCAAATTGAAAATTCCACTTAACTGATCTCTTGTAGTGTCAGGGACTTAGGTGAAACTACAGCACCACAATTTTAATTGCCTAGATAATTCTGCTCTTCAGTTAGAGAGATTACTCTCGAGTAGCAGAAGGTAGTCCCTTCCAGTCCCAAAGGATCATGAATCTAATCAAATCTCCCCACATAACAGAGCAGAGCATTACCACTAAGACCTGGATCAGCCTGTTACTTGAATTTTATGTAGCTTCCTTTATTTAAGCATCTCAAGAAACTGTAGGGACTGAGTGACTAACCTAGTAAATAATGTAAGGGATGAAGAGCTTTTTCTATGTTTCTCTGCAGTGCACACACAACCCAAAAGTGTGGACCAGCATTATCAGTATTCAGTATGCGTCCCTGTATCTCCCTTTTGCAAAATACATCTTTAACTAACTCCCACCGAGCGAAACAGCGCAGGAGGTCCCCTTAGGACTAAGATTATACTGGACACTGTCTGGCAAAGACAACTCTTCGGAAGTGCCAGCCAGCAACTTTCCCTCAGCAGGGACTTCAGCATGTTCAGTCTCTATCAGCACAGAGAACAATTCCCACTGCCTGCTTTGCAAAATGAATTCACAGTGTAGCCACAAATAAACTGCCTGTTTCCCTGTTGTGCATGCAACCTCAGCTTTGCCAACATCAATCAGAATTGACACTTGAGAAGCTTAGCTTTCAGCTGCGACCACCAGAAGAGAATATCCAGAACCTATATCTAGACATTAACATTAACACTTAGCTACATCCAGCAGGATTCAAATGTCCAAGTGCTCATATATAAACAATGAAACATTGGATTTTAGCAGGGCCATCCTTAGCCATATGCAGAACATGCAACTGTATAGTGCACCTCAAAATTTGGGGTCTCACTGAGTTTCAATGTGCACCCACCTGCTTCTTTCTATCCCAGTTCTGTGGCTCTCCTTCCTCTGGAGAGGATCTAGTTAACTTAAAAATGAAAAAGCCTGCAGAACACTGAACCTGAGAAAGTGCCATTTAAGTGGCAATGAAGCTATTTAACAGCATTTGCCAACCTCTGGTCTACACTGTCAGCTTCTGAATGTACCAAGTGAGGGAACAGGAATTTAGTTTAAAATCTGCTTTAAAGATATTTCATTAGTGTGTTGCTAAAGATTATAAGAATCACAGCTCTAAAAAACTATGATTACATTCTATGCCAAGCTGCCGTTGGATATAGGGCACCTGTGTAGGGCCCTAAACTTCGTAAGGACATCCCTACCCTTGGCTCCATCCTCCCTCCTCTTCCTGTCCCTGTTCTGTTGCTGTTGCAGCCTGGTGAGTCTTCCTACAGAGGGGATCTAGTTAACTTAAAAGTGAAAAAGCTTTTCAGCCTGCCAGACCTAGTAGCACAACACTTAAACTGTTAAAGAGCCACTGAAGTGAAAATGAAGCCATTTAACAGGCATTTGAAACACCCCAGGTATTATACTCAGTTTCTGAATTTACTGACAAAAACTGTTTTGCATTCCCATAATATTTACTCATAATATGTTAGTTTTCAGGGCCTTAGTTTAAAATTTGGTTCAAAATATTTAATTAGGGTGTTCCTGAAGATTATAAAATCACATCTCCCCCACCCTGGGGACTGCTGTTGGGCATAGGGGTGCCAGTTTAATAATGCAGGTTGAACCTCTCTAGTCCGGCACCCTCAGGACCCAACCAGTGCCAAATTGTAGAGGTGAATATTGTCTAGCAGCACTGCCAACACTCCCACTGTTTCTGGGGCTCTTAAGATATTTAGGCATAAATTAGAGCTAAATACCAGCACAGAACACTGAGAGCCAGGACTTTATGGGATCGTGGGACACTTGACCCCACCCACGATAAATGGACATTTGCTAACTAAAATCTTGCTGGACCATTGATGTTGCCGGACCAGAGAGTGGCAGACTAACTAAAGAGGTGTAACCAGTACTGCATAGGGCCCCATAAATCCAAAGGACGACCCTGGATTCAGCATTCTGTTTAGATGACAAATGTGAAATTGGGCCTGCTGGTGTAATTTCTTGTATTTGACTTTTTAAGTCATGCTCTTTTCAACACAGCAGAAGAAAGGCT